AGGATGACTACACAATCATTCTTGATAAAACAGGAGGAAAAATCATTTCCAAGAACAACAAACAAATAGCCAAAGCAACACGAAAAAATGGCTTTTTTATTCTAGAGACTGATGAACAAAATTCCGCTAAACAGGTTATCACTGATGAACTCGAAAGGAACGAAAAATTTCAATGGCATAAAAGACTGGGACATGTAAATGAAACATACCTCAACATAATGAAAAATCAAAACTTGCTTAGAGGGCTCAACTACAAGGAAACAAAAATGGCTCAATGAAAAGTATGCATACAGGCAAAGCATACTAGAAAACCCTTCAAAGAAACTAAAAATAATAAGACGAAACACCCTCTGGAACTACTTCACATAGTTCTCGTAGGACCGATGCCTCACCGGTGACAGATACATGATGACAATCGTGGATGACTATAGCCGAAAAATATTTACAATTTCCTAACTTCAAAGGATGAGACAGCAGATATGCTAGAATTCTTCATAAAAACGATGCAAAACAAAACAAACAACAAGATAAAGCGCATCAGAACGGACAACGGAACTGAATTCATAAACCGAGATTTCAACCATATATGTAACAAACATGGAATACAACATCAATTAACGACAGTATACTCGCCGCAAAGCAACGGGATAGCTGAAAGGGTCAACAGGACAATTCTCGAAGGGACAAGAGCCTTACTCATAGAAAGCCAACTACCCAAAATCTTCTGGGCTGAAGCCGCACGAACAGTGAGATATCTCAAGAACTGCACACCTGCAAAGCTAGAGAAAAAGGCATCTCCCGAGGAATTATTCTCTAAAAATAAACCTTCAGCATCACATTTATGAATTTTTGGATGCCTAGCGCACGCGTGGATTCCAAAGGTAAAACGAAACAAACTTGAGCCAAAATCAAGACCAGTTACATTTATTGGATACTCAAGAACCAGAAGAGCCTACCGGATATACGACCCAGAAACAAATAAGGTGGAGGAAACCAGGGACATTAAGTTTATGGAATATCGATTAGGAAGTGAATTGTTAGACAAGTCAGACGGGGAAACTAATAGAGAAAGAAAACCAAATTCCTGGATAGAAATGGATTTAGGCAATATGAACGAAAACAATGATCCCACATCCGTAGATGCGGAAAGAATAAGGAACGAGGATAGACCCAATGACGAAATTGACACAAATCAAGAACCCAACCTTACCCAAAGCGAGGACACTCAAGTTCAAATACCTAGAAGATCACAAAGAATCAGGGAGCAAATCCAACAAGAAATCGGACCCAACTATGACAAATTTTTCCGATACAGAAGAGTGGGATGATACGGATGCAGTAAACATGACACAAGATTTCACGCCAGCTACCTTCAAAGAAGCAATCACTTGTCGAGAACATAAATCGTGGTGGAAAGCTATGAAAGATGAATATCAATCACTGATGGGACACCGAGTATGGGACCTAGTAGACCGAGAACCAAATGCTAATGTTATAAAATCAAAATGGGTATACAAAAACAAAAAGAATCCGGACGGATCTATAAATACAAAAAAGGCCCGACTAGTAGCCCTGGGATGTTCCCAAAAGTACGGAATTAATTTCAAATTAAAAACAAGGAAACATTTTCACCTGTGATGAAATTGGAAACGCTAAGAATCTTATTACTAATTGCAACACAAAAGAATTGGAAAATAAGCCAACATGACGTTAAAACAGCCTACCTACACAGCAATTTAGACGAATGCATATATATGGAACAACCGATGGGATTCATTAAAGGAGGAGACGAATCAAAAATATGCAAACTAAATCGCTCTATTTACGGCTTAAAACAGGCTGGAAGAGCATGGTTTAAGACGATTACCGATCACCTGTGTCAAAACGGTTTCGAACAATTAAAAGCTGATCCATGCGCATTTAAATGCCAACAAGACGAAAACATTCTATACTTAGGATTACACGTTGATGATATGATAACAATATCTTCGAATGAGCGAATCGAACACGAAGCTATAGCAAAAATCGCGGAATATTTCAACTTAGTTAACCTGGAAGACCCTAAATGCATTTGAGTTATCGAAATAATGAAATTTGAAGATGGGATAAAACTGATGCAACAGAGACAAATAAAAGAGATACTCCAAAAATTTAAAATGGAGGATTGTAAACCAGTAAACACGCCAATGGATCCTAACCAAAAATTAGATGACAGCGAAGGATCACCATGCGGAAATAAGAAACTTTTCCAAGAAATTTTGGGAAGTGAGATGTATATCAGTTTAACAACGAGACCCGATTTGTGCCAGCCAATCAGCGAACTGTCATAGTACACACAAAATCCGAAGGAAATGCATATCCAAGCAGCGAAACGACTGATACGATACTTAAAAGGAACCCAAAGTAAGGGAATCATATACAAACGCGACCAAGACAACAACTTAATCGGATACGCGGATGCTAATTGGAAAGATGGGAATGTAGGTTAACGTTCGAATAGTGGATACCTTTTTCAACTCAGACAGAATCTCGTATCATGGAAATGCAAGAAGCAGAACCAAATGGCGTTATCGACACGTGAAAGTGAATTGACAGCATTAACCGAGGCTACGAAAGAATCAACATGGTTAAAAATGATCCTAAATGAATTAGGGGAGAGATTCTAATAAAACAACTACGATTTATAGCGATAATCAAGCTGCGATAAGTCTAATCAACAACGAAAGTCCTAACTACAAAACGAAACACGTAGTAAGAAAAATATCATATGTACATGAAAACGTTAAATCAGGTAATGTTGTTATTAAATACATCCCGATGGAAGAAATGTCGGCAGATTTTTTGACAAAACCATTAAACGCACTTAAATTAAAAATCTGTTTAGACAGAATCAATGTGAAATGAATATTGTATTAAATTAAATTAAATGTAAACCAGGAAACTTGCCCAAAAACGGGGGATTTGTAGTATTGTTTTGTAACAAGTTTCATGGAACTTGTCCCACCCTGTAATTAATCACCGAAAGTGAGTGTACCCTTGGTCAGGTGTCAGAGGGATGACATAACTCATGACCTTTGTGTAAACACATGTCCATCTGGTGATCACTTGCTCTGTTGCCTTTGAACTGATCAGATGTGAAAATAAAGCTCTCTTTTTGTTATCGTTAATCTTAGATGTGTAAGTCATTTATAGTCTCCCAACAAATGCATTTACCTGGCCATTCATTTACAGGTCTGGGAACTCAACTATTATGGGGAAAAACTAGATTAAATCCAGATTTATCTTAGAAGTCATGGAGTAAACCAATAAACAAAGTAGACAAAACTGCTTATAGACATGATATTCATTATTTGAAAAATAGAGATACAAAAACTAGAAATGAAATCTGTGATAAAATTATGTTAAATGAATTAGATGATATTGAAAACTCTTCACTTAGAATAGAATAGATTGAGGAATTGTTAAACCAATTATAGCAACAAAAAGAAAATTTGACTTAGGAATTTCTTCCCATATAAATAGCATCTATTGTTTAAAGTATAAAAAAAAAACACAAATATTATTATAGAAACAACAACAAAAAATAATAAACCTATAGCAAAAGGAATGTGTGCTGTTTGTGGTACTAAAAAGGCAGTTTATGAGTTCAATCACAGATGTTTGTTACGATCCTGAAAATGGTTACTGTAGAATAAGTGAATTACAAAGAAAGACTGGTTTACCTAGAAAAGATATTACAGAATTTTACATCAACAGGACAAATATACTAAACATAAACCAATTATAAGAAAATTTGTGTTTCTCACATTGATGATCAATGGCAAGCAGACTTAATTGATATGCAAAAGTTTAAAAGATATAATGATAATACAGTAGAACCTCGAAAACTCGGCTCTCGATAACTCGGCCACACCCTGACAGGGCAAAAAAATCCTTAGTTAATTAATTTTCATTATAGACAGCTTTATAAAAGTATAAAAGCTCTCATAAAGTATTTTTCTGAGGTCTGTCTTATCAGGTAAATTACTGTACACAGTGTACTCATTAATTTTCATTTTCATGTAGTAAAGGCTCTATGCCTTCATAAAGGACGTACTTTTCCTTTGTTTAAGGNCAGGTAAATTACTGTACACAGTGTATTCATTAATTTTCATTTTCATGTAGTAAAGGCTCTATGCCTTCATAAAGGATGTACTTTTCCTTTGTTTAAGGGTATTTGGGCAGTTTATTCTCTGTTATATTCTCAAGTAAACAATAAATACAAGTACAGTACAGTATTTTCTGAGGAAACACTTGTACTTATTTTTTTAATTCCATTCCCGATAACCCAGCATTTTCACAAACTCGGCCACCCTTCGGTCCACATTAGGCCGAGTTTTTGAGGTTCTACTGTACAAATTATATATTAACAGTAATAGATATTTAGTAAATATGCATGGGCAATTCCAATTAGAAGAAAAACTGGAGATGAAATATCTAAAGCATTTATACAGATATTCAAAGAAAGAAAACCAAAGAAACTTCAAACTGATAAGGGAACTGAATTTATTAATAAATAAACTCAAAATTTGCCTAAAGATAAAAATATTCATTGGTTTGCAACTGAAAACAGAGATAAAATGTTCAATTGTAGAAAGATTCAATAGGACTTTAAAGACAAAGATGTGGAAGTATTTTAACACTAATAATACTATGAAATGGATAGATGTATTAGACAAATTAGTTAAAAATTACAATAATTCATATCATAAATTGATAAAAATGACACCATTAGAGGTTAGTAAGGAAGAAAATCAGCAAAAAGTATACAATAATCTATTCAGAGTTAAGGATATCATATGCAGTTGGTGATAAGGTTAGAATATCAATATATATAAACAACCATTTAGAAAAGGATATCTACCTAACTTTACAGAAAAGATATTTAAAACATATCCAATAACTTATAAAATTAAGGACTTAAAAGAAATAAAAGGAACTTTTTATGAAAATGAGTTAGTAAAATATGATAAAAAGGATGAAGTTTATAAGATAGAAAAGATATTTACTGTATTTCCTTTCTTTTTAATTATCTTGTTAAATGAATCAGGATACACTATCCATTTAACAGTTGGATTGATAAGATATTGAATAAAAAATTTTCCTTAATAAATGAAGCAGTGCAAACATTGTAATATTAATATCATCATCCGTGAATATAGCAAAGATAATCATTGTCAGTGGTGTAAAGGTTGTGCAAGCAAATACTTTAAAATTATTATGATAAAACCAAAGACACAATAGAATGTGAATGTGGTAAAAAAATTTTTAAATCAAACTTAGAGAAGCATATGAAAACTGATATTCACAGAAAGCAATTAAATAAAATTAAAAAAAGTGTTGTAAATGCAAGGAAGAAAAATCTTTAGACAAATTTCACAAAAATAAAAGCTTTACCAATGGATATAGTTATATTTGTAAGGCATGTTTGAAAGTTAAAAATTTATTCAATATTCTTTTCTTATTAAATGGTGCGAAAACTACAATCACATACTGTTAAACAGTTGAGACAATTCTATAAAGATGATGATCTTAAAAGTTATTCGAGACTGAAGAAAGCAGACTTGATCCGTTTTATTATTCAACATGGGGATCAAGGTATTCAATAGATGTTTGATTTCATAAGAGTATTTTTTTTAAATCAAAAATTAGAGAAAAACAAATTTGTGGAATATATTATATCTCACATTTTAAGCTGTCCAAAAAGAACCTCCACGTTGAAAAGAGAGAACATATGGAAGCATTAAATGAAGGTATTCAAGAAGTTGAAACAGCCTTTGAAAGCGGATTAAAAACATTTTTGGATAAATAACATTCATGGTCATATCAAACCTATTAATTTTCTAGATGTAAGAGAGTTGGTTGTGAACAAAATACAAGAAATATTTAAAGTTAATTTTCAAGTTTTTATCTTTTAACTATTCTGTGAATGTAAAAGACGAGGAATATCAACAGTTTTCCTTCAAGACAAAACATAAAGTAATATTGAATCAGATAGTGTAGACGAATATTACGATGAAGTTATTGAAAAGTTATTAAAAGAAATGGATGATCTTGAAACAAAAGGTTGGACCTTAACTCAAATAATTAATTTACAGTTGAGAACTAATAAGTATGTTCAATTAAGAGGAGCATCCTATATACATTTACCTAAAGAAATCAAAAATAAAACAGCTGTTTTAAACATTAAGAATGAAGATGAGGAATGTTTTTAAATGGTCTGTGTTAGCTTATTACATTCAATTGATAAAAATGCAGAAAGAGGAGCAAGAGTTAGATTTTAATGGAATTAAGTTTACCATTGCTATATGTGATATGTTGTTTTTCTTTTTAAATTTTTTAATATCTGTTAATGTACAGTAGAGCGTCTATTTTCCAAAAGTCAATCACCGAAAGAATTCCAGTCGGCAAATTTAAATTTTCACCAGTGCTGTGGCGCTTCAATCTTTGTCTATGTCTTGGGCTACTCAAATATTTTACGTTTTTGAAACTAAGTTAACATCTGAAGTATAATTTTTTATTGTTTTTATATTTTTCAATATATTTATTTTGTACAAAATAAAAAAATAATTTTTTACGATACAATAGTCTTCGTTAGGCTTAACATCGACGAAAATTCAATGCGAAGCGACACGCAACGGAGAAAAATTTCAACATCAGATACGTTAAACTATTTTTTCGTACATAAATCGGTTATCCGAAATATCAGTTATACGAACAACCCCAGTCCCCAATTGATTCGGAAAATTGACGCTCTACTGTATATAGTTATGAGAACTTTTAATGCATATTTTAAAGAAAATGATTTAGACATTTTTCCATTAAGAATAACTGAAAAGAAGTTAGATAAGCTTGTTAATTTGTTCTATGTTAAAGGAGAGAAATCACATTATTGCTTGATAAAGAATTTATCTCGGTTAATTGGAAGCCAGCTTACTTCATTTGGACATAAGATTTATCTACATGATAGATGTTTAATGCACTTTTATTCAGAAGGGAAATTGAAAAGTCATGAAAATTATTGCAAAACAAATAAGCCTGTGAAAATTGAAATGCCTTTTGGAGGAAATTAATCGCTCTTTAAAAGTCCCATTTGTCATCTATGCAGATTTTGAATGCTTAACAAGAAAAATGTGTGTGTGTCAGCCAGATCCCGAAAAATCTTATACAATGGCCTATCAGAAACACGAACCCATGACTTTCTGTTTTTATGTAAAATATGCTCATGGTGAATACAAACCACCTGTTGTTTATAGAGGACCGAACACTCCAAAGGAATTTGTGCAGATGATAAAGAAAGAGGCTGAAGAAATAGAGAAAATTTATAAAAACGTTAAGACCATGGATCCATTAATTAACACCTGGTGAGCAAAAAATATTTGAAAACAGCAATATATGTAATAAGATTATTGAAAGAAATGAAAAGAAAGTTATATTTTCCAATTAAGTGATCATGATCTTTAGAGGTCCTGCACACAAAAGCTGTAATTTAAATTATAAGAATCCATCATTTACTCCAGTATTTATTCACAACCTAAGTGGATACGATGCACATTTGTTCATAAAAGAACTTGGATATGATAACAAAAAAATTAATCTAATTCCAAATAATGAAGAAAGATATATTTTATTCAGTAAAAAAAAGTTGGAAGCAAAAAAATAAGACTTGTTGACTCTTAAATTTATGGCAAGTAGCTTAGACAAATTATCTAGTAAACTTCAAAAAGAACAATTTAGAAATACAATGAAATATCTTCCTGAAGACAAATTAGCTTTTGTTATCAGAAAGGATGTTTATCCCTATGATTATATGGACAGAATAAACGATACAAAAACCAAGATAATCGATGGAAAAACAAAACCTAAATATGTAGGTTTCCCATATATAAAAAATATGTATGAGCAGATAGATACGGAAATGAAGAAAAATAATATGAAACTTGCTCCCAAGTATGAAAATCTATTCTCTAGATTAAAGGCAAAACAGTGTATTAAAAAACAAAAAATAGATAAAGAAGAGACGAAAAATATAGTATATAAAATACCATGTACCTGTAAAAACACCAGCTTTTATATAGGAGAAACAAAACGAAAACTTAAACTGAGAGTAAAAGAACATATGTCTGATTTAAAGTACCACCGATTAAACTCTGTATTCCATGATCATTGTGTACTAAACAACTGCAATATAGATAAAGCTAATACACAGATTCTACACAAAGAGAAGAAAACATACAACAGAAAATTCAAAGAGAGTGTCGAGATTATAAAAAACAAAAATAATAATTGTATAAATAAAAATTTAAGCATCAAAATTAACGAAAACTGGATGAAAATATTGTAACTAAGTTGAAGCTGATTGGTCGTAATTACGAAGAAAATCATCTAAGTTTAACGTTTATGAATAGATAATTATAGGTAAAGTAATAAGTCATGTTAAGTTTAATATAATAATTCATGTTTATATACCAACTTCTATTATATACAGAAATCGGTTCAAAAAATCAGCTCAAGTAAATATGTAAATTAGTTTGCCAAATAGCGTAGTTACGGGAATTGCACACAGGAGCGGTTTAACCAAAAGCTACAACTTAAATCGTATGTCTTTATGAATTGTAAGTAATACAAATAATAATTACTAGTTTGTACAATTAATGTAATTGCTTTAAGTATGTTCTATGTAAATTGGCAGTTTGGATAATATTGCTAAGATGACTTTGTGAAATTTTGTTCGGAAAGAAAGGGCGACAACTAATATCGAATGAATTTCGGTGTAATATGCGAATATCAACCACAGGTAAAAACAAATATTGTTAAGATATGTTGTAATTGTCAATCTATTTATTTGAATTTTGTGTAAATTATAAGAAAGCCATATTTAAAAGCCCAGTAGTCAAGCTGTTATCTACGACCCTGTTTGTTCTCCAATGATTATCGTCGACCTTGTTTGTTCTCCAAGTTGTATATGAAATATGAAATTGTCCATCCTGTACGACATCTGTACAATAGTGGTTTGTGTTTTATGGTATGTTTTTAAAAAAATTTTTTTAAAAAAACAGTTTATCTACTCGCGTATTTTTGTACAAATTTTCTCATGTTTTATTTTTTATGTCTAGTTGGCTGAAGAGGGGCCAATGCCCGAAACGCGTAATGTAAAAGGCGTCCCAACTGAATAAATAGTCAATAAGTTGCCAAGTGTTGATATATGTCACCTTAGTGTGTCTGCAACGAAACAGATTATATGGATGACGAATTAAAAAGCAGTGAAACGCAATTACCACCAAAACAGGTATTTTATAGTGAATTTGAACGAAACTGAAATATTAGATGAGGAATACAATCACACAAAAGAAGTATGGGAAGAATTTAACATTAGAAATCTGATCTCTGTGAAAACTGATATTATAATATTGGCTGATATATTTGAGAATTTCAGAGATGTGTGCATTAAAACATATAAATTGGACCCAGCTTGGTATTACACAGCACCTGGATTATCGTGGGATACTATGTTAAAAACAACAAGTTAAATTAGATTTATTAACTGATTATGATAAGATTTTAATGCTTGGGAAAGGAATTGAAGGCGGAATATCTCAATGCTGTAACAGATATACTTATTATTTGCTTTAGTGTATGAAAAATTATGATGAAATGAAAGAATCAAATTATTTAATGTATTTAGATGCTAATAACTTATACGGATGGGCCATGAGTCAATATTTGCCATATGGAGAATTTAAATGGTCTGATACAAATATAGATGTAACACAGATACCAGATGACTCAGACTGGTTACATTTTAGAAGTTGATCTAAAATATCCCAAAGAATTACATGATTATCATTCTGATCTACCTTTAGCTCCAGAGAACAGAGTGCCAGATGGATCGAATCAATCAAAGTTAATAAAAACACTTTATGATAAAGAAAAGTACGTAATCCATTACAGAAATCTAAAACAGTGTCTGCAGATGAGATTGAAGCTTAGAAAGATACATAGAGTTTTTGAATTTAAACAATCAGATTGTCTGAATAAATTTATAGACCAGAATACAAAGATGAGAACAAATGCTAAAAACGATTTTGAAAAGGATTTTTATAAACTGATGAATAACTCTGTATTTGGAAAGACAATGGAAAATATTAGAAAGCCAGTTGCTATCAGGTTATGTTGTAATGCAGATAAGGTTGAGAAATTGATTGCTAAACCTAATTTCAAAGATAGAACTATATTTGCTAAAAATCTTTCTGCCATTCATATGAATAAAATGAAAATAAAATTTGATATGCTCATTCCCACATAAATAGGTTTATTAGATCTATCTAAAACTTTGATGTTTGATTTCCATTATGTTACGAAACTGAAATGTGGTGATCATATAAAACTGTTATATCCAGACACCGATTCTTACATTTATGATATGAAAGGGATGATTAATTACTTTGTCCTCTTTATAGTCTGATGTATCAATGTTTATGGTATACAAAGAATTAATAAAGTTTTGGGAAAGATGAGAATAATGGTAAGATAATGACTGAATTTGTAGGATTAAGAGCAAAAATGTATGCCTTGAAAGTTGAGAATAAAGATGAAAAGAAAGCCAAAGGCATTAAGCAATGTGTTGTTAAGAACAGAATATCATTTGAGGATTATAAAGACTGTTTATTTAATAAAAGGGAGCAATATATAACAATGAATCTAATTAGAAGTAAAAAGCATGAACTTTATTCTGTGAAGGTAAACAAGTTAGCATTATCACCACATGATGATAAGAGGTATATATTAGATGGTGGTATTCATACAATTGCAATAGATCATAAATCTTTTCTTATATAAATGGACTCAAGAATAAAGAGGGCAATTCATTGGGATAATTTAACAGAAGATCTAATAAGAGAATTGAAAGATGAAGTTAATTGGAACTCAATATCTCAAAGACAAAAATTGTCTGAATTTTTTATTAATGAATTTAAAGATAGAGTGAACTGGAAAAATATCAGAACACCAAAGTCTCTCTGAAAATTTTATAAGACAACACGTTGATAAGGTTAATTGGCAACTCATCTCTATGCATGAAACATTATCTTGGGAATTTATTCTAGAATATGCAAATAAAGTGGATTGGGATGCTATATCTCGATTTGAAAATTTAAATTCACTTATAAGATATCAAACCATTTTGGAACAATTACTCGAAGACTTAGATCGATTAAATGTATTAGACTGGAAAATAGTTGTTAAATATCAAGAATTATTTGAAGATTTTATTATAAAACAAAAATAAAATTGATTGGTGTGATGTTATTTTAAAGAAAAGGTTCTCCAACAAATTTATTGAAAATAATTATAAAAGTATAGTTGTTTCATTGTTAGCTATAATTTGTAATAAATGAAACTATTCCATTGATATAGTATTTCAATATTTATAAATTATATTGAATAAATTTCCTCCTATATAAATGGAGACTCTGAATAAACTAAATGCTATTGGTAAACTTCAAAATACTTAAATACAAAAAATTAAATGAGTTAGAAATTGATTACAAATATCCAATCCATAAAGTCAAATCGATCAACCCTTTACGGTGATAAAACAATAGTAGTGTTAGATGATTTTCAAGTTCTCCTGCCAGATCGATTTGATAAAAATTTGACTGATGAAGATATTAAAGAACTAAACAAACTAAGAGATTTAAGATTTGTGTATAGAGGTACGAGAGAATGCGGCAACACAAATAAAGCACACATTGTTGAGTTTGTCAGTAACTAGTCATAGGCACGCTAAAATTCTCACTTCATAGTAGATTTTCTGATTTTTGAGGCTTGATAAATTTATAGGCAAGTGAATGAGGTGGGCGAGATTACATAATTATGAAATTTTCCAATTTTGGGTCATTCTCATTCTAGTGAGCCAGAATTGGCATTTTCCCACTACTGTATTAGGCAAAACTTGATTTTTTAATTGCCATAGGCATGACAGGTACTTTTACGATATACCTAAATTCATGATATTTATTTGAAATCGCTATTAGAAAACGAGGCTGTAATATGATTTAAGTATTATCATCATTGACTTAGGGATATAATTTTAATATATTTTATTCTACTGCTTTATTTTGTATCTGAATAAAAATTTTTCTATTTTCTATATATTTTCATATGTAGAACTCTCCATAACTGAAACTGGTCTCCAAATTTTTAGAATTAAGCCTGGACTCCACATTACCGGAATCCGCGACGTAATCGTAAAACTGAAAGCCAAACTGACGAAACTTCCGGTTTTGGAACGTTCTGTTGGACAGAAACAAGACCGAAAGCGGATTTAAAAATTATTTAACTTTTCCGTTTTCGTCCCGCGCTTCTGTTGTACCGCAACCAATAAAAACGCAAGGATTTGTGACGCGTAGTCACGCGTTGTTTGATTGTCGTAATGGCGGAAAGTTTAGCGAAAACGATGAGGAAACAAATAAATTTGGAATTCTTCATCGAAGAAGTTAGAAAATACACATGTCTGTACGACAAAAAAATGTAAATAATTCAAATTAATTCTAATGTTAATTAACAATTTCATTGTTAATAAATGCAGAGAAAGCGTGGCAAAATCCGTAGCGTCGTCCATGTTTGTCTCTATGACAATTACAGAACTGATCAACAGATGGCGCTTTTCTAGTAGAGTCAAGTTAAAACGAAAACATAACTGAAACGAAAACGCTATATGTTTCAGTTCTGTTTCTAAGTTTCTGTTTTCAGGTAACGTGGAGTCCAGGCTTTAATCTGCAGATTAGCTAGGTAATGCGCACATTAACGGATTTCGAGCTTTAGCGGTAACACATAAACCGTTCTTCCGGTTTAGCCTTAATCCATTCCTCTCCCCCCGCAAGGGAATTTCGACAAATCCCTTCTTAGTGTGCGTTTCCATGACGTACCCACCCTAGGGTGATCCGTTAAAACTGCGAAAATTATTCCATTTCTCAAATTACCTAGGTAATGTTCAGATTATCTAGGTAATCTGCAAATTACCTACTAGGCACTCGGTAAAGTGAAAACAAGATCTTTGCTGGAACAACAGCAACGTTTCTGTACGCTTATTTATTTAATTTTCAATATCTAAAGAATCCAGTTAATACAATCAACAAATTAGTCGATTGAATCAATCATCTATCAATTAAAAAATCAAACGGTTTAAAATATTACTACAATTAGGGAAATGAATTTGCAAAAAACATATGATAAAATTGTACTTACTTATTAGTGCAATCTAAAGATTGGTGACACTTTGAATTACGTAGCAATTGGTTTTTGCGACAAGCACGCCTATTTGTGGTACATTTAGATTTGCAGTCACATTTTCTGAAACCCTGCCCAGTACCAAGGGATTGTTTTATTGCTGTTTGACGTAAAGATATTTCTACAGCAGGGACATCCATCTTCTTTCGTTAAAAATCTCTCTTTGCAAACACTGAATTCAGATTTTGCATACAATTGTTTTAAAATACCTGTTTTAGTATCAAGTTTATAAAAGCCATCCTCTGTTTTACTAAGAACCACAGCTAAAATTGAACGTGCATCAGTTTTTGCTCTGTCTTCTTCGGGTACTTTAATTCTCACAGCGAAACCTTCATCGACGTTTGGGTGCTTTGCATTAGAAACTGCTAACATTTTCTTTGCTTGCTTTTCTAAACATTTCTTGGCTTCATCACGCTGTATTTTCTGATCCATATTCTTTTTACAGATGATGCACAATACATTCTTACCATACCCTTCCTCTTTAGGATCTACTTCACCACAAACTGCGTGAACAAACATATTACACGATTTACACTTGTGAGCACTTGATGCTGCTTTTGAGCAAACAATACAGACTATGTCTTGTATAGTGCTCTTTACAGGCTCCGTACGAAACTGTGATGGCGATTCTGCTGAAGTTGAGAGTAACTCAGTGATGACTTCTTCAACTTGCAGAGGCGATTCCTTGGAGGTGCAGGGTAACTGAATATTCTTCGTGACTGCATCATCAATCAACGGTATAGAAGGCAGTTTAAGATTACTATCGGTAAATTCTTGTATTTCTATAGGTGATTCTGTAGAAGCGGGGGATAACGGAATGTCCTCTTGAGTAAGATTTGACTGTGATCTCATAATCACAGTCTCTTGTGAATCTTCTAATTTTTCAAGGTCTTCTTCAGTTTTTATCGAATGTCAAACAATTCTTTTTCAAACCTTTCTCGCGCATCTGACAAGGGCTCAATGAGTTTTTCACAGCCTCGTACAGTCAACACATCACACCTTTGAATTATTTGATAATCTCGAGATGATTCTTTCTTCTTGGAAACTTTTATTTGCTTTACATCTTCAATTATGGAATCATACTTTGGTTTGTTATTAAAACACTACGTATTATATTTTAAATCTTCGCTCAAGAGGTTTGCGAAGAATCTTTTCTTGATTTTACTCACCAATTCGGTGCTTGCTCGCATTCTAGGATTTAAATTTATCTACGTAAAAAGAAGGAGTGGAGAAAGGAAGTGAAAGAAACAAACTTTTGAACTTTAACGATACGGAAGCCGTTAATGTGCAGATTACCTAGGTAATTTGAGAAATTGAACAATTTTCGCAGCTTTAACGATCACCCTAGTTAATCTGCAGATTAGCTAGGTAATGTACACATTAACGGATTTCGAGCTTTAGCGGTAACATATGTACTATTTAAATGCGATTTTTCGTTTTCAACTACGTTTAGTCTTCATTGAGTACTTAGGCGTATTAAATTGATAAAAATATTTATAACAATGTCCGAATTGTTATCTATTTCGATTTTAAAAATGTTCGAACCGTTTTAAATTCGAATTTGTTATTGCGTATCGGTTCGATTATAGAACGATCGTACACGTTCCAGAAAATTCATTAAATTGAAAACAGTTCGTTTGATTCTCGGCAATTCGCATCATTCTCAGCGGTAGGTGTTATATAATAATTACTATGGTTGCTGAAATACTGAATATAAATAGGGTTTGCTTGCAAAACCTCCGCGGGCGAAGTCGCGGGTAACAGCTAGTCTGTCTTATAATAGCTCCAGTTAGCTGGAGAGTATATTGAACAGAATTTATCGAGTTCCTGCACTTCAGTCTTTGACACATTTTAAACTCATCATCAGTAAGTGTAAAAGTTATGCATCCCAAAGATTGCTCTGCGAGTGACTGAGCAGAACGGGTCATCAGCAAATAGCAGTTGACTTATAGTCTCAAAGAATGCACACAGCTGAAATGAAGAGTATCGTGCAAAAATGAACAGCGGGGGTGACAGAATATAACTCTGACAGTCCAACAAGCATACTGAATGATTTTGACCTCATGCCATTTATATGAACATACTTCTGAGCATGGAGATTTAATGGCTGCTAAAACCCTAGCCATTAATTTCAAATTCCTACATTTTCCACAACTTATCTGAAGAACACGGGGACACATAATACGAAGTCTTCTCAAAATTTTTGAAACGAGTTTAACGTATTTTTGCAAACGAGTTTT